TGGGGATGCAACGTAGAGAAGTAAATATTAGGAAGGGAGTCAGGCAGGGATGCACACTATCACCGCTACTTTTTAATCTATACATCGAAGACGCCATCAACATCATTAAAGACAGTACAACTGTAGGGATAGATGTGCAAGGGCAAATGATTAGTATGCTTAGATTTGCAGATGATATAGCAGTATTAGCAAATAGCAAGGAGGACCTAGAGATAGCTTTAAATAAAATGGAAGCGGTACTGGCAAAACAGCACTGTATGAAAATAAATAAAAGTAAAACTAAAATACTGGTGTGCAAGGGAAGAAAAAGTAGGGAAAGAGCGAATATAAAGATAGGAGACGAAACATTAGAAGAAGTAGCTGATTTTAGATATCTAGGAAGTCTATCTATCTATCTGTTTCGTTTATAATCTTCTGGGACTTTCCCCGTTTCGTAAATATGACTAACTAGCTTACACATACGATCTCCAACCTCCTGTCCTGCATGTTTTAAAATTTCCATTTTTTATTGTTACACCGAACTCTTCTGTCATTATGGGATAACCTAGTTCACCTATCTCTACACTATCTCCCTTCTCTAACAAACCTCCTAATTCATAGACTGAATGTGATGTCAAGTATGGAGGTATTATTATAGGATGCAAGGAAACTGAATTTAAAGAAAAAGTCCCCACAATTTCATTTTCATTAAAAATACTTATGTATTTTTTATTTAGAGAAACAGTACTTGTGCGAGTCACGATAAAACACTTTATTTGTTTAGTTAAATATTTAAAATTAATCGGTCATATGGTTATATTCGATTATAGAATACCTTGCCACTGTTAACCCAATTAATGCAGACGTTCAATTTCAGTTCTGGTTTGGTGAACTAGATTTAAAATTAGGTTAGTAAACCGCAAAAGAAGAAAATGTGGTAATTCATTTTCATTGATCTTTATTTTATTTTTAGATAGGTATTTGTACAGCCATACAGCTAAGTGCTTACATTTACGATTTTAGCTAGATCTCGAAGTAATTTGAATGCTTTACGAATAAGGTGACGATTATAAGTTAATAAAATGGGACAAAACAGCAACAAAGAAGGTAAAAAGTGCTTAACCAATCACAAATGAGCTGATAATGTGTCAAAACTATTTAATTGAATGCATATATGTAAATGTATAAAAATAGATATTGTAAAGAAAGGGAACAAGCTTTAAGGAAATTAGAACTGAACCAGTAGCAATTAAATTGATGGACGAGAATGGTTATATGTGCAGAAAAAATGGCGAAAACAAGATGAAGATGATAAGGGTAACGATATGAGAAAAATTGACTTTTCGAAGTATGTGGAATGTATGAAAGCTTTGTTATGAGAACTTGCCATTGGTAGAGTGATAGTGAGTCATCAAAGTACGTGAAATGGAAGAAATAATTGGACGTAATAGCAAGGTTTAGAGTAGGAAATGAAAGTAGAGTGTGTAAGTATTGGATGAAAAGGGAAGCTATGTAGAATATGAATAAGAGGATGAAAATTTGATGCATGTGCTGGGGTCGATGTGATGAAAGTAAGGATTTGGTTGGATACAAGTAAATAATCGGATGTGATGAAGGACCGATCCGATTTTAAAAGAAGAATTGTGCCAAGTGCATATAATGTTTATGTTTATTTAAATTAATGGTAGGTAGGAAACGTCTACCGGTTCGGAAAAAGAGACTAAAGAAAAGAAAACAGAGACATGAAGAGGTTAGTTGACGATAAGGATAGAGCGTGTGACTGCTCGTATTAAATAGGAGATGCATATACTAAATAATAATAAATAAACGAAAAGTTAATAAGGTTCACAACATAAAGGAGATGAAGAAAGCTATGATTTAATAGTAATTAAAAAATATTTGTGTACCTAAATAACCTTATATTTCAGTAAAGCTTTATATAACTACTAGGTTTCACCCGCAGCCTTCACTCGTGTTGATATATTTTTTAATGAATTGAAAATAATAATATTTAGGTCAACTTATCTCCTAACAATTTATGTAAGATATGTTTTTTTTTTAATTTAACAAATTTCTACTCATATCAGTCAAGTTGATATGCCGTACAACTACATACAACTCATTTCAAACGGTTAGAGATAACCCTTTTCCCATTACTTGAGTACGCCGCTTCGTGACTAAATTCAAACTATTTCCGTCTTGCTCACGCCTAGTGTGTATTCATTCTATTCATGTATCACATCTCTACCCGTTTGAAATGAGTTGTAAAACTATTGTTTCTTCTATCCCTCGGGAACAGTACTTTTTTTCTGGATAAAAGATACCCTATGCACTTTTCGGTGTCTCTGACAATGTCTGTACAAAATTTCATTGTGATCAGTTGAGTAGTTAAGGCGTGAATGCAAGTCAACAAAATCACATTCGCATTTAAATTACTTAGGATTTATTTGAATGCAGCCGATCATATGAAAGAAAAAAATTAGAACGAAATAGAAAAAGATATTCAAAAGTAGAAAAGGCATTAGTTGTTAATCGCCCTGTATTATTATTTCAGGGTTTAGGAAAAGATTTCAATGTCAATTAAGCGCAAATACGGGGGAAAGAAATGGGTTAAATTGTTATGCCCCTCCCCTTCTTTGACTTAACCGATGCACTTTATTTTGAGCAATTTCACGCTGCATGTGTTGACTAAAATCAAATTGAAGGCAGTTTCAGTTTGTAAAATTTGTGCATAATCATAAAATAATATAGTTTTTGTCCGTTCAGATTGTCACAAAACTTCAAAAACCTTCGACTATCTCACTGCTGGTGGTAACGAAGCGACCGAAATTACTGATAGAAATAACATTGCCAAATATTTAGGTTTAAAATAATCAACAGAGAATTATTCAAATGCTGGTATTAGGTACATGGATAACAAACTAAAATTTGAACAAATATTTTCTTAATATCGAATTGTCTGGAAAATAATTAAAATCACCCAACCGCCTGCCTCCCTAAACATAAACCTGAGAGTGACCTGTTTTCGTTGTCAAAATTAAAGCATAAATATGGTGTAGAAATACAAATACCACTTCGAGTCTCGCACTTAAAAATTGTTTAAAAGTTTTTTTTTTACATTTGATATTTTTTACAGGTAAACTCGTGCTGGAGAAAAAATGACGGTTTTAAAGACTTTCTGCAGATGCGGGTCCCTAAGGACTGGTACACTGGTTGCAGGTGTAGCTGGCATAGTAAGCTCAATTCCATTATATATTTTTTAATAAATAATGCTATAATAATTTTATTTGCAGATTTTAGCCATTTTGGGAATAATTCTACTATTTACCATACACGTGGACGTAAGAACAATTGTTATTGACTGGTTACCAAAATGGATAGGTTAGTGTCGATAGTATCATTTACTAAATCAAAATGTTTCAAATTGTTTTTTGTTGAATTAGCTAGGGAGCTGACGCGCAAAAAAAACATGTCGTTCCAACCTTCTGTAGCCTAGTACATCAGCTTTTAGACCTTCTTTTGTTATATGATATTTAGGCGAAATCTGATCTCATTTCAAGATAAGGGGTGAGGGAGAAAAATTGAAAACAAAATGTATGCCTAATAAATAAAGTTTTTGACGGTATAATTTATGTGCAGTCGTGAGACAAACAATTATCCGGAGACCACTCGGAAGTTGCGTTTGTGAACTCCCGTTCTACTAGAATGTTATTAAAATAAAACTAGTAGCGAATTTGAGTTGATGTGTTTAATGAGAATGTTTCTTACATACTAACTAACAATATTAAATTTACTTAAAACTAGAGAATAACTAACAAAGGGGGTAGAGTCTAAATGAAGATAAAAATGTTCAGACTCTCAGAATCTCTGAAAGCGAGACTCGGGTCTCCGTCTCTCATCGAGCCTCTCTAGTGTCGCTGAGAGAGACTGTTAAAAAAACTGTTTAGCGTCTCTGAACGAGAGACTCGAGTCGCTCATAGAGAGATCCTAATGTATCCAGTCTCTGAACGAGAGACTCGAATCTGTGAACGAAAGACTCGAATCTCTCAATAAGTGGTGTCTCGATTCAACATATCTCAGAGATCCCAGTCCTACGAGAGACTGGAGTCTCTCTATTTTTAAGTTTTATTCATTCAGTCTCTCTGTGAGAGACTCGAATCTCTGAATTAACAATTTTATCGTTCGAGTCTCTCCTACAAAGACTGTGAGAGATCCATAAAAACACCTAGGCAATAACTGAGAGACTGTGAAAGACTGTGAGAGACGCTGAAAGACTCCGAGAGACTGAAAATTTTTGTCTAGGGAAACCCCAATAGGCATCTTATCTACCTCATTAACACTACTTTAGTTAATTTATTCGTTCAAAGGTTTAACTTCGTGTATTATTATTACATTTCTAACGATTTAAAAGTTGATTTAAGATTTACCTATTCATCTTGTCTCTTGAAAAATTACATGTGTCCCGAAAATATTCTATTAAATAAGAATGATTTGTAATTTTTATTTCAGTGAGAATTATCATGGCTATAAATTTCGCTATGACTATTTTAATATCTTTCCTATTGATTCTGGGAGTTATAAAAGTAAGTAATTTTGCAAATCAGCCTGATGACAATTTCAAGACATACTCATTCATTTTAAGCGTAATATGTTCCTTATGCTACCCTGGGTACTTCTGGGAATAATGTTGGCAATTGGATTGCTCGTATCAGTAATTTACACTGCAGTTCAATATTACATAGATGGGGATACACTAAATGGAACGTTTTGGATAGTGTTTGGGTTACTATCATTTGGTAAGGATTGCTTTACTATTTTTATTCCTTAATGTTTTAAGTAATTTGCATTTTATACCCAACTGCACATAATGTATGTATAAAACAGCATCATACATCCTTTTTGAATTTTGTGATTAACGTCTTTTTCAAAGAGAGGTTTATATTTTGTTGATGTCGGACGAAACTTGAAGCAATATAAGATATATATATCCTTGACATTTAAAAAAGTCAATAATGTAAATTATAATGGGTATTTTTATTGTATTTAAACATGTGTTTATATTTAAATATATTTATTGGCATTTAAGAAATAATATCCAATAAAATATTTTTAAATTGTTTGTAGTGGTATATTTGTACATGTGGCTTGTGGTCTACAGTTTCTTTGTTATTATAAAAGAAGAATATGACCGTGGAGCTTACACCAAAGACCCTTTCAGGAGGAAATAATAGATGATTCTGCTTTTTAAGTAAAATTTGTACCTACAATCTTTTGCTCTATTGAGATTGATTTGATTTGCCATACTGTTCTCAAAAACAGTCTGATTATAGTTTTTATTTTTCTGTTGGAGTGTGTTACAGTCTGCACGAATGCAAAAAGATCGAGTTTATATGTGTGTTTTGTATATTTGTATGACAAGTGATGTATATTTATTTTATTTATTTGAATCGATGTCGAACATAATATCATAATAATAATAATTGATAAGAATTTAAGAATCTAATAAGTGTTTCTATTTCTGTAAGTCTATAACAAAAAGTTATATTGTAAAAATAAAAAAAATAATATAGGTAAGTCTACAACATCGACTCAAACAGTCATCAGTGACGTATTAACGTAAGGTGAAACAAGACAATGCTCCTAGCTTTTGCACCTCTGTGCATTTTGGCTCACGATAGGCAAATTTGTTGAAAAAATAATATGTAGATTTCACTTTGAGATTGTTTGCAGTATTCGTAATAATCTTCTTTCTTAAAGGGGCCTTTCTTCAATTTTCAAATCTAAACCTTGCTCCACTTGAAGCTAGCCCACGCATTGAAATTGGCCCATGCTCTGGGTCACCCTGAATAAACTTCACCTGAAGTGACATAAAGCCACGACATTAATTTAAGGCCACATAATTTCACGTTAATACCAATAAAAATGTTTAATCTACAGGGATAAAACAACGGTAGACCATGTGGGGGAAGGGATAAAAATTGCTGAAATAGTGTCAAAGGGTTCATGGATAGCCCAGATCCTAAATAGAAACAAACAAAATAGTTCTTCTTAAAATAACTCGACAATTGTTGACGCTATAAAATTGTTTTCATAATTGTACATGCATTAAGATTATTATCGTCTACTAGTAAATGGGGTGGATTTGGAGACCAGGACATGTAAACCATCATTCATTAGTTTGTGGGAAATACCTAATGTTTTTTGTCAGTAGGAGAAGTCTTGATTGAATAGCTAAAATGTAACGAAACGCATGATAGGCTAGGTATAAAGACAAACGAAATACTAAAGCAGGTGGGAGAAACAAATGACAAGGACATATCTAACGTGCCTAAAATCAGCATCTACAGATGTAGTAGGTCTTAAGCAAAACGAAAGTAGGAAACCCTGGATTACCAGTGAGATTGTAGGATTAATAGAAGAAAGGCAGAAATACAAAAACAGGACAGACGAAGAACGGCAAAAAAGATATGGCTATACAGTGGGAACTAATTAGGAAGTGTAGCGCAGCTAAGAAACAGTGGGTTGATATAAGGTGTAAAGAAGTAGAAGAAAAGCTTGAAGTAGGTAAAACGGATGAGACTTATAATATAATTAACAGAAATATTATAGATATAGGGTACACGAGGCAGGCTCATTTTGATAGAAAATGAGGAAATGCGCAGGCCATGAGGTAGACATATATTAGAGACGTGAGATAGTGTGGAGATAGGTGAGCTAGATTATCCCATAATAAGAGAAGAGTTCGATGTAGCATTACAAAACTTAAAGAATAATAAGGAGCCGGGTGTAGATGGGATACAGGGGGAAATTCTAAAACATGCAGGACAAGATGTTAGAGATCGTATTTTTAAGTTAGTTAGTCACATTTACGAGACGGGGAAAGCACCAAGTATAAACGGAACGTGGTAGTAACCATACCTAAAAGAAGAGGCGCGGATAGGTGCAGGACTTTTAGAACAATTAGTTTAACTTCCTATGCGTCAAAAATCTTAACTAGAATTGTACACAGGAGAACCGAAAAGGGGCGACGGAACCATTAGAGGAAGATCAATTTGAGTTTATAAGAAATAGAAGAACGCGGGATGCCATTTTAGTTTTAATAGTGACAATATAGAAACCGATAGAGAAAGGACAGAGTGCGTACATAGGATTTGTAGATTTAGAAAAAGCTTTTGATAATGTTCAGTGGGACAAGATGTTAAATATACTTCAAATTGTAGGGATGAGTTACAAAGATAGAAGAGTGGTACTTAGTCTGTATAAAGAGCAACAGGCAGTTATNATATATTAAAGAAATTAAGAGTGCTGTCAGCATAGCCAAAGTAGTATTATGTAGCTAGTATCAACAATTCCTTATGCTGAAGCGTACGATGTGTTGCATACCTATTTACAAGCAATTTCTTTAAATTTAATTTTTTAAACAATTTTTAAGACAAAGAAGGTGATTAAACGAATTGTTCACAAAAGTGAATTTCGACCACTCGAAGCAATGGTGCTAACAGTTTCGAGCTCACAGTGACTGATAGGGGGGAAGAACTAGCAAAATAATAAAGACCTTTTACTCTTTTTGTCCTGCTTTATTCTCTATGGTTGAAGGCGCCTAATACCACTGATGTTTGCGGTGTGCTATCATAAAACAGTCATAAAAATATAACCTACAATATTATAAATGTGTTAACAGTAATTCATACACTTTTTGCAATTGCTTGTGATGATTACCAAAAAATCTCGTAAGCAACTTCGTAAAGAAGAAAGAAAGCAGAAGAAGGCCCGCAAAAACGACTTTTTTGCTAACAAGAATAAGGGCAATTTTGTGAACGCTTCTGTCCAAAAAACTACCAATGTTGATAAACAAAAACTCAAAAAATCTTCTAAAAAATCTAATATTTCTAGTGAATCGGATCGTGTTAAGGTACAATAAATTTAAATAAATATGTGTATGTATTCGGAATTATTTTATTCGTGTTATTTTTATGGTTAAGCAAGAAAAGTTGGCTGAAGATGTTGGACGATCTTTGAAGAAAGAGAAACGAGAACAAAATAAATTAGAGAAGCAAATGAAAAAACAGAGAACTGAAGTTCTTAAAAAGGCAAATTTAGAAGAAGATCGCACCATAAAACAACTTGAAAAACAACTTAAACTTAACAAAAGGAAATCAAAATCTGTTCCCAAATCTTTTGTGGATGATGGTTTAGATTGTATCCTTTATGTATTGAAAATAAAATAAAGACAACAATTAGTGTTATATTCATCTTAATATATGTAATGTAGATTTACTGGAAGTTTGTGATTCTGAAAATCTAGCAGGAATTGCTGCTGCTGAACAACAGTTCATGGAAGCTGATAGCGATTTTGAAGAAGATTTTACGTTAATGAGTGGAAATGATTTAAAGTTGAAGTCCAAAAGAAAAATAAAAGATAAAGAAGTGCAGAAATATTCTAGTGAACCTGACAGCAGTTTATTTGATACAACCCAAAAGGAGGACGACTTCTTTGTAAGAAAGAAAAAAAAAATACAAAAAGACTTTGATGAGGAATTACTAAATGAAAATAAAGAGGAAGAAGTTAGTAAAGATTTGAATGAAGAACAAGATGGGCATATTAGTTTCGATGCTTCTGACACTGATTCAAATTCAGAATTCAATAATAAATTATATAAGGGAAAAAATAAAAAACAGTTGATGTTGAAAGATGACAATTCATCTGAAAATGATACATCTGAAGAAGAACTGTGTGAAAATGGTGAAGATAGTGTCAGTGATAAAGAACCAGAAGTAAATTATGAAGATAATATTGAAGAGATAGAATCTAAAGAAAAGCAAGAAGTTTGGGAAGACATATATGGCCGTTTAAGGGGAAAAAATGGTTCTATTGTACAGGTAATATAGAGGTTGAATACATATAATATATTTAAATAAGTAGTGTGTATAATAAAACTTGTACATGGTCTTCTATCCTAATGTAATTCTTTTGTATCTCCATTAAAATAACATTTACAGTAGAACACCATGAATTTAGTAATTTTCGAATATACAGCATTTATGTATAATAGCTTTGAAAGGCAAGGTGTGCATAAAATGACAAAAAAGGAATTCAGAAATGCTAAATGCTGAGTTCCATTTATAATAATAAACTTAACTTTTGGTATAGAGGACAACTACTTTTGAGAATAATTTTAAAATATTTCCATGTAATTCATACAGTTTCAATTTATAGCTCTTATTTTAACAGAGTTGGAAAAGAATTACGTTTAAGTTGAAACCCCACCATATTCATAAATTTGAATAGAAATTCATTCAATAAATTGTCAAAAAATTCAACTGAATTATTACTTTTAGAACAACGAAAGAAAGTACATTCCACCGGCAGTAAGGGCCAAATTAGAAGCTGATGCAACTGGAGGTAAAAATCAAGAAAAACTAAACAGGCTAAAACGTGAACTCAAAGGTAACAAAAGATTCTTTAATAAATATAAGAGACACTAAATTAGATAATAAAAATTGCAGGACTTATTAACAGACTGGCAGAAGCAAATATGCATAAAATAGCTGTTAAAATTGAGCAACTTTATATGGCGAATAGTAGAAATGATATGAATCATACTTTAACTAATTTAATATTTGAAGCATTATTATCGCCAGTATTGACCCCAGAACGATTTGTTATCGAACATATAATGTTAATAACCATTTTACATGCCAACATCGGTGTTGAAGTGGGTAAGTTATCCATTATTTATGCATGACATTGAATAATAGATTACAGAAAATTAAATAAAAGGAAGTATGAATATAGACTCGTACTAGTACATTTCTTTTTTTTTTAATTGTAAACTCATTAAACGTACTATTTACACAAAAAATAATAACCTTCCATTTTAAAGAAACATTATTCACTTTGGAAGTGGATTGTTTGCACGTAAAATTACAGATTTCTGTTATTGCTACAATAGTCTAGCCGACACACTCGGAAGAAAGTCACGGAGATAGCCGAACGTCGAATGAAAATGTAGGACATTACCTATATAGCAAAAACAGTTAAAATAAAAAAAAATTCTAGGGCAGCCAAAACCTTACTAAATCCATCAATACTATGTGTACATCGTATCTGCATACGTATGCCCCCCTTTTGTAACATAATTTTGTGTTCGGCTGCATTCGTCACGCCGTTAGATATAACAGCTAGACTCTCGTAAAGTAACCACAAAAAAATTGTTCTCTCAGCCAAAACTAGTGCATCTCTAAAATATGTATGCCTGTTTGTTTATATTGCTAATTACAGGTGTTTATTTTGTTGATTGTAAATGACTATTGTATATTAAACAACTTTTGTTACCGTAAACAAATCGATAGTGTGTTTTAGTTCNTGATTAATTTTATTTGCTATTGACTTACTAAAAAGATTAAATTTATTAATGTTTTCATTTAATTTGTTTTCGTTACTTCTGAAACTTTGAGCTGAAATATTGTAATTTTTTATTGCGTCAGATATAACATTAATCTGTTGTTTCATTAAGATTTTAATGTCGAGATTTTGTTCAGTTAGAGCATGTATTGAATCGCTGTAAAATTGCGCATCCGCAGAATTAGGGGTACCAAAAAGCCATTTAAACGCGTACGATACACCATTGAAGAGTCCACGGCGATTTCGAAATGGTTTATGACTGACAAGCTGGGTAATAGTAAGGAATTTATTTTCTAATTGAATGATTTGCACTTCGATTACTTTCATAGAATCCTTACACGAATTAAATTTTGACGTTTTTGAACAAAGAATTAAGGTTTTGTCGTACATGTTTTTAATAAATAGCAACTTTGCATGAAATAATGAAATGTTGGAGAACGAAAGCAACGTGAAATAATCGTTTGATATTTTTGCGAATCCCAGATTTTGATAGAATATTCCTGAATAAGTAGGGATAGGTTCAATAGAATAAGGGAAGGAAGTAAGAGAGAAATGAAATTTGAAAATTGTTAAGAGTGTTAAAGTTATAAATGGTTTAATTTTCATTGTTTATACCTGAAACAAAAGGCTTCAGTAAGTTTGCATGATAGGTAACTTTCGTATTATTTTTAATTAATATCTCATATGTATTGTTAGGATTTACTTTTACTATTTTAAAAGGACCTTTATAATTTGGAGACAGCTTTTTACTTAGTCCTGGTTTAACATTTTTGTTTAGTATGTAAACTAAATCATTGACATTAAAGGTTAGATTGTTGACCTTTCGATCATAATAAGTTTTTGATTTTTCTTTTGATTTAATAAGCGATTCTCTCGCTATTTCATAGGATTTATTGAATTTTAATTTTAAGTTCGAGTAATAATCGTCGTAGGAGTATCGGAATTCAGGTGTGCTAGTGAGTGAGTTGGGAATAAAAGCTTTGTGACCAAAAATTAATTCATAAGGGGTATAGTTTGTGGATTTATGTGTGTGGGTATTATAAGTAAACATAGCTAGGGGTACATATTCATCCCAATTATTTTGGTATTGATTTATATAGTGCTTCAAGTATTCTTTTAAGGTGTGGTGGCTGCGTTCCAAAGCACCATTCGTTTGGGGATGATATGGGCTGCAGAAAATATGTTTAATTTTGAAAAGTTTATTCAGTTGTTTTAAAATTTCGGAACAGAAATCTTGACCTTGATCAGATAATATACTCTCAGGAATGCCAAATATTGTTAAAAATTCAAGCAAATTATTAGCGATTGTGAGAGCCTCGTGGTTTGGGATCGGCTTTGCAAAAGAATATTTAGTTAGATCGTCCTGCATGGTTAGGATGAATTTATTACCATTTTCTGTCATGGTTAGAGGTCCTACAACATCGATTGCTAGACGTTGGAAAGGGCGTTCGCTTGTTGTAGTTATTTGCATGGGTGCCTTATTAGGTTTGTGATTAGTTTTATTTATTTGGCAAGACTGACACGATTTGATATAGTTTTTAATGTCCTTCTTCATGTTCGGCCATTTATAATTATCTTTTATTCTCTTATAAGTTCTTATAAACCCTGAGTGACCTGATAATGAAGACGAATGGTTATGTTCGAGAATAGATCTAATTTCGTCTTTATTTTGAGGTAGTAACTTAGGTTTATTTACTAAAACAACTGTAATTTTTGATTTTGAAAATATAAAATCAATCATTTCGTTGAGCATGTCTTGTTTTAAATTAGGATTAGTTTCTATTGGATTTTTAAGGTGAATAGTTTCTATTTGATTTTTTACAAGTGATTTTTTTAAATTGATAAGTGAATAAAATAAATCTTTATAAGTTAAATTGTCAAAATAATTTAATTTGGAAATCAAAATAAAGGTTTTTTCTTTTTTCGCATTTTCTAAAAGGTGGGTTGAATAAAGATTTAAGTCGTCTGAAGGAATAGAACTAATATCATGAATTGCAATAAGGTTTTCGAAATTTGGATTGCTCATGTCTAAGTCTTTTGACATTATCAATGCATTTGGAAATTTTTGAAATAAGTTTTCTTTGATTATTTCGATTCGTGGCATTTCCTGATTTGTGTAATGGAATTTAATAAATTCGTCATATGTGACATTTGTATTAGCTTCAAGACTGAGAACAGTATTTCTGGAGAGAGCGTCGACATTAGAATTTATTCTACCAGGTTTGTATCGAATTTCGTAGTCGTATTCCTCTAATTTTAATCTCCAACGAATGAGACGACTCGAAGGATCTTTACAATTAAAGAGCCATGTGAGTGGACGATGATCTGTTAGAATTATGAATTTTCGACCATAAAGATAAGGTCTGAAGTGATGAACTGACCATACTATTGCTAGAAGTTCTTTCTCAGTGGTGGAGTAGTTCGTTTCTGCTTTATTAAGAGTGCGAGATGCGTAGGCAATGGGTAAATCGCGGCCTACGTCACCTTGAGACAATACTGCACCAATGGCATAGTTTGAAGCGTCAGTTGTTAGAATGAAGGGATTTTTGAAATTAGGAAATTGAAGTAAAGGTTCAGACGTTAAAATTTCTTTAAATGAGTCGAAAGATTTTTGACATTCTGTTGACCAGTTAAATGGTACATCCTTTTTTAATAGTGATGTAAGTGGTTTACCAATTTTTGAGAAGTCCTTAATGAATCTCCTATAGTATCCTATCAAACCAAGAAATTGTTTAATCTGCTTTGGATTTTTCGGAGGTGGATAGGTAGAAATCGCGTCGATCTTTTCAGGATTAGGTGAAACTCCTTTATCACTAATAACGTGTCCTAAATAAACAACCTCGTGACGCATGAACTCACATTTATCAGGCTGCAATTGTAAATTATTCGCGCGAAGTCGAGAAAATACAGATTTAAGTTTATTCGTGTGTTCTTGGATAGAACTTGCGTAAATAACGATATCGTCAAGGTAGACGAAACATTGAAGACCCTGTAACCCTGATAAGACGTTATTCATTAAACGCTGGAAAGTAGACGGGGAGTTTTTTAAGCCGAAAGGCATCCTGGTAAATTCATAGTGGCCAGAATGAGTGGAAAAGGCTGTTTTAGGTATGTCATCGGGTTTCATCGGAATTTGGTGGAATCCACTGGCTAAATCTAATATAGTGAAGTATTTGGAGCAACCCAATTGATCTAAAATATCTTCGATAAGAGGGAGAGGAAATGAGTCACCCACTGTGACATTATTCAACTTGCGGTAGTCAACGACTACTCTCCATTTCTTTTGATCAGATGCATCTCGTTTTTTTGGAACTATCCACAGAGGACTGCAATAAGGAGAAACAGAGGGACGAATGATGCCTTGTTTAAGAATTTTTTGGATTTGTTTGTTAACTTCCTCCTTGTGAATATTAGGAAATCTGTATATTTTAGAACTTATAGGAGTTGGATCAGTTACTTTAATCTCATGTTGGATAGAATTAGTAGGGGTTAGTTGATCGTTTGGTAAGTAAAAGATGTCATTGAATTCTGAGCAGATATTGAGGATCGAATGCTTTTCTTCAGAATTCAAATGTTCCAAACGAAGATTATCTTTTAAAATTTCTAAACAACTGAATGTATTAGGATTAAGATTCAAAACACCATATGCATTTTCTTCGAAAGGTTCTAGTATAATTTTAATATTCGTAACCTTAATATGCTTTGAGGAAGTGTTAAGAACAATTGTGAGGACTTTTCCTCTATCATTTACCTTAAAAATAGCCTT